AGAAACGCCAATGCCATCCTCCTCTCTTTCATGTTGTCGAAATGGTCTATGACTCTGTCATAACAGTACACGCTCTTAGTTTTTGTCCTAGGCTACCTGGCTAAAATGCTCGCTAGCCAGGTGCACAATGTATGAATTTACGGTTGGATCAGAATCGCCATTGTATTCATTGGTCAGTATGGAGAATTAAGTAAGTCCAAATCCCTATCTCCATCCATGGCTAATTTTGGAAGGGCCCATTTGATGTCTGTAGATAGGTTTCCATCCAATTTGCAACACATTTTATGCAAATATAAATGCGATATTATTTGTATTTCTCAAACGGCAGCCAAGCATCGATCATTATGTCACCAGAATAAGACCCTCAATATTTATTGGGAAGGAGCATCAAGCTCATCACCTTGCACATTCACCACCCTGTCAAGTTCATCATAACTTATTTAATCCGTAGCCTAATAAACTGTATGCTTTCCCGAGTCTTAGTGGGAGAACCACACAACATATCATCACGTGACTCCAAGTTTACTCCGATTTGAAGGTTATTATATCCAAATTTGCGCACAAAGGTGTTTCCACCACAATTTCTCACATAATTAATTTTACTGACACAAAAGGATCCTACCATGTCAAACGAACAAATTGTCTGTCGGCATTTATACAATTGTACGGCATTTCATATTTCCATCAGCCTGGTCGTCACTTTTTTTAATGCGTCAGGTAATTCATCCGCATGAAATGGTTGGATGGAAACCTTGTTAATGACGTTTAGCTTTTGATGTGATTGGTGTGAAGCAAATCCAAGCTGGCTTTCCTTGACACCTTTTTTCTGGTGCGCCAGGACCATTCACAGTTGAGCTCACTCAGTTTAGCTCAATGCTGATTGGCTATTATTATTTTGATATCAAGGGAGGACAAATGCTCATTGGCTTCCCTCGCATTCAATGCTATGGGCGGCAACAATATCACACTATTTTTGACCCGACAGCATCAGATATTTGGGCTACACATACGGAAACAGAGGGGCGCTGTTTCGCTCGCTCGGATGCTTTCTCCAATGAGATAAATTCAGTTTCTTGAGAATTGAAGGAAAGTTACAAAACACAGAGAGACAAATTATAATAAAATGTATTTGTTCTTTTTTAGGGGGGAAGCCTGGCTTCCCTTGGCATCCATGAATACACGCCACTTTCCAATACAAGTTAGGGTATCCTAAACCTGACGTCTTCCCCATCAACATCTTCACACACCTGAACACAGAGAACGGCAAAGCCCTGATTAACAAACTTAATGTCATCCTCATTCAGGCCTGCAGGGGAGGTGAGTGAGCTCAAAAGTGTGTTTCCAAAATGTATTTAAACATTTTGTACTGGCTTTAATTTGAGTAGAATGCCTCCATATTAAAGAGGATTTGCATGTTGTTTCAGGCAAGGATGGTTGTGCCTGGGCCCAGCCCTGACCTGGGGTTAGAGAGTGACTCAATCAGCAGGGAGCACAAAAAGGACTTCATCTCCCTTCTGTAATGCACACCAGGTTAGTGGGTCATATTAACACATTCTCAAGCAATATATTGTTTGTAAATGACTCTGAGTAAACCCTCATTATATTCCCACCCCATGTATCATACAGAAATAAACAGATGTGCACCTTTTTTGTCCGGCGCATCATGGAGACATTCAACACCTATGCCGGTATTTGTAATTATTACTGATCCCCATTAGCTGCTGCCAAGGAAGCAGGGCTCCAAACAAGATTATGACAATTATATACAAAATAAAACAGTACATCACACAACACATTACTACACATTACTCTACCACAACATATCTACAGTACAAAATCCGTAATACAGCAATATAACAATATCACAATGTACTTGTGTGTAGAGTGAGTGTGTTAGCATGTGTGTGCGAAGCGTGTGTGTGCCTGTGTGTGTCTCCCCACAGTTCGCGCTGTTCCATAAGGTGTAGTTTTATCTGTTTCTTAAATCTAATTTTACTGCTTGCATGAGTTACTTGATGTGGAATAGAGCTCCATATAATCATGGCTCTATGTAGTACTGTGTATTCCCCAGAGTATGTTCTGGACTTGGGGACTGTGAAGAGAACCCTGGTGCCATGTCTTGTGGGGTATGCATGGGTGTCTGAGCTGTGTGCTAGTCATTTGAACAGACAGCTCGTGTGTTTAACATGTCAATAGCTCTCACAAAGACAAGTAGTGATGCCGTCAATCTTTCCTCTACTTTGAGCCAGGAGAGACTGACATGCATGTTATTGATGTTAGCTCTCAGTATACATTGAAAGGCCAGTCGTGCTGCTCTGTTCTGGGCCAAATGTAATTTACCTATGTCCCTCTTTGTGGCACTTGACCCTATTACTGGGCAGTAGTCCAGGTGCGACAAAACTAGGGCCTGTATTACTTGTTTTGTTGATAGCGATGTCAAGAAAGCAGAGACCACGCTTTATTACGGACAGACCTCTCCCCATCTTAGCTACAGTTGCATCAATATGTTTTGACCATGACAAAACGTGATGAACATACAAGAATTGTTCAGAAAGGCAAGTATCTGGAAACAGAACAGTTAACAATGCTCTGTCCTCATTGCATTGTGCTGACTGGAAAAATGTATCAACTTTGATTTACTTTGAGCCAAAATAACATGTTTGCATTTTCTACCATACAGGTCATGGATCGCTTTTAAGATTTACCCAGACAGATGCTGACCAAAGACAGAGCCACTTTAACAAAGTACTTCTATCTCTGAGTAGTTGTGATGATTAATTATTTTACTGTATTCACAATGGAGGAATATAGGAGGAACATTGTTTAAGTTTAGGTGTTTGGTATACACACCTTTTTAGACCATCACCAGTATGTTTCAATTTTATACATAGAATGAACCTTTTAACATTATTTTATCACCAGCAATTTATTTATCATCAGCAAATTAAAATCTCCTCCTGTAGAGCTACTGGGTAGCCTAGGTAGTATTGTGTTCCAGCCCTGCTCTAACACACCTGATTCAGCTAATCAAAGTCAAGATGAGCAGCTAATTAGTAGAATCAGGTGTGTCACTGACCATTTTAGTCACCCTAGCAGAACTTGTTAGACTTGTTTTCAAGTTAGAGTGAATGTCAGAGTGAATGTATTTTTTTAAAATAATTTAGCAGATGCTCTCATCCTGAGCAAATTACAGAAGCAATTAGGGTTAAGTGCCTTGCTCAAGTGCACATCAACACATTTTTCACCTAGTCAGCTTGGGGTTTTGAACCAGCTACTTTTCAGTTACTGGCCCAACGCTCTTAACCGCTAGGCTACCTGCTTCCCACTTGCAAAATCACACACAAGAAACACCCACATGAAAGCAAGGTAGAGTCAGCAATATGATGTAGCACCACAAAGTAAACAGCATAGTGGGTTAATTTCTACAACAACTAAGAACAGATACAAAAGCACAAACATGGGACGCATACTGAACGTGAGAGAAAACCAATAACACCTAAGGACTGATGACAACATAGGGCTAAATAAAGGGGGAGAAATCAGGGTGGTGATGAAGTCCAGGTGTGTCTAATAATTGTCGCAGGTGTGCGTAATAATGGTTGCCAGGTGTGCTTAATGATGGGTTGCCAGGACCTGTAGTTAGTAGACCTGCGACGTTGAGCGCCGGAGCTGGGGAGTGGGAGTAGACATGACAAATACATCACTTCATATTGTCAGAATATAAATCTAGTCAATCCATTTGTCAGAATATGAATATAGAATGTACGTCAACTTTGGAGAAAAATAAAATGGGATGATTAAAATAAATGGAAATTCAGAATGTGATATTTCTGTTCAGTATTTCTTGTATCTTGTTTATGCAATTTATATCGTTCCAATTGTGTAGCCTACATTCAACCATACTTTCTAGTTACAATATTGTTAATGCACCAATGAAACAATGAATTGCCTTCCAAATTGTTCATGAATATCCATTTATTTTGAGAGATACCATGAAGAAGAGGCCTGGTTATAAGCACATAGGTTATTGAGTTGTGATAATGCATCTAACAAAAAATATATATATATATATTTACAGTACTGTAACCACAAGCGTTATTGAATCCTTTATTTTTTGAGAGTATTAAGAATAAAGCACCCAGTGAAGGACCATATGTATTGAAAGAGTAGCTTTGCATATTGTTTTTCTTCATTAGAAAATGTTTAAATGCATACGAAGTCACATAATTGTGCTATCAATTACACCCTATTCACTTGATAGTGCACTACTTTGGCTCTGGTCAGGATGCCATTTGGGTCACATCAAAGCATTTTCCTGCTCAGGAAGTGTGCTAAAATTACTCTATTCTTGGAATATTTGTAAATCACTTCCCAGAAGAGGGTGGTAGATATCAGGAAATTAGGGGCTATTTAACCTTGCAACATGAATAATATTTCCATATCTGTCTACAGTACATTTTGTATTTTGGGTATTTCCTATCTGCTTAAAGGTACACTCGGCAATATGACATGATCATACATAGCGGGTAACTTCCTGCTCACATACATTAACACAACAGAATTCAAGACTTCTATTGATTGTACAGATTTGTGCCTTGTGCCTTCCTTGAGGAATGCCCACACTGTGAATAGCCAAGTGTGGCAGTTTCAGCAGGTTTTACTTTTATTTTTGATAATAGGAAGTCTCCCTATTGTGTAAGATCATGTAACTAAACTCTCATATCAATGATTTTATGTGTATTACACATTCTAAAAACTGCCCTTCGAATCCGCTGGAGGTTAGGTCCATACATGATCGCGTTTAAGACAGGTGGTTTAAATAACTAGGAATTGTACAGCCATTGCATTATGCATATTTAGAGTAATATTAACATTACTATCCCACCCTAGCAAAATGTCAAACAGGGTCACTGAGATGAAAATAACCATTGTCAATAAATGTGGCACACATGTCTGAGTGAACTTAATTCTTCCCTCAGCTGACTTTACATAAACCCTTACAATCTGACAGTAAGACAAGGCAATGAAAAGTACCTGTAAAACATGAACCACTATTAAACATGGGCTCCAAATCCAATTGATGGTAATGAGTAAACATTAATACTTTAGTATAGACAGATTGTCACAGAATATTTTATCAATGCGAGATCCACACAAAGGAATTCTGACTGTTAAACTAAGTATTATGAGTGCTATAAATAAAGGATAACACCAAGAAAGAAGAGTAACTTTCTAACAGTTAAAGATGTCACAATGGTATGATATAGTAATGGTCTGCATATTGCCACATACCTGTCATAAGACATCACTGTTAGAATAGTAATTTCACAGAGGACAGATGTGTATATTACATAGGCTTGAATCAAACATCCACCATAAGATATCACCTGAACATCTGACTGAAGGTCCAGTAAGAACTTGGGGTAGAAACCAGTGGTTCTGTACAATCCATTGACACACTGTAAATTACAATGAAATATATCAATGTGCTCATGGCGGCCTTTGAATGATTTTAATGATCAGAGTCAGATTCACATTAATATTGAATAGGTATGTGATAAGAGGCAAGATGAAATAGACTGAGATGTTGCATGCCAAAGAGTTAAAAGAACTTGACTTGGGTTGAGTTCTCTGTAGCCTTTGTTAATTTTCTTTCTGTGGTCAAGGCAGCAATTCCTAGGTCGTACAAGGCTTGAGTGTGTATGGCTGTGAATGAACGCAAATTATTTGATTATGTGTTAGTTCGGACTAAACACAATATTTTTAACAAAAATAATTCATATCCCCCTTAAAATCTTTTTCTTAAAAAAAAACATACCGATAATATATGTACATTTATAAGACTTCTGAGGTTTGAAAGTAATAGAGATACGTGAGTTTTGGGAACACCATTTTTAATTGGTGAATTATGATCAGATACAAAACATTCTCAGTGACAATGCATGATAAACTTCATGCAATTTCTTGAATAATATTTGGGCTACAGAGAAATTATGCAAAAATCCTACATATCTGTATAGTCAATTATAGCATCGATTACATAAAAAACTAAAAGAAAACATCTGTATATATTGTAGGTTAAAGGCATAGTATCTTTTTACAAGCCTGCCTGATGTCATATATAATAGGATAAAAAAATGGTGGACATAGTAGAAAATAAACAAATACAATAGTGTGAAGTATAGGTGGAAATGCAGTTTCATATCTGCCTTGTAGAATAACAAACAAGCCAAAGGAGAAGTTCAGCAAAGAGGCTATATGTGCTGTACAAGTGTTAAATGCTTTCTGTTTCGTCTCTTTCGAAGACTTTACACATATTTGTAGAATTCTGACATATGAGTATATGGTAGGAAATAAAGTACAACAAAAAGAAAGCAAAGTGGCAACAAGACCCCATATGTTATTCAGCGTAGTATTTGAAAATGCAAGCTTGACTGCGGAATAGTTGACACAATACAGTCTGTTTCGCATGTTATTTTGGCATTAATACGTGTCACATATTAGTTTACAAACAATAAAAACATGTTTTTCATGGGGACACTCCGTCACCGCCAAATCTAAGGGTAGAGCTCGAAAATTCAAGCCCCTTGGGTGCTGACATAGAGTTACATTAGAAGTGGCCATCCAAGAAGGCTCAAGGTCATTGGCCACATATATATTCACATCAAATCATGTACATCTACAGTAGCTTTGATTGGATTGATCATGTCAACATCATACTTTCAAAATCTTAGCTAGCAGTCATCATCATGAATCAAGTCGACAATCTACTGGCAAATATGTTTTAATACTTGTCATATGAAGAGAAATAATGAAGAGAAATTATAAACAAAACTTATCGGTGCTCATCGGCCATTGGACATAAACGTTACACAAGTTGGAAATGGCAAATTCAACCATGAGTGGTTTGGAAGGAATCAGTGACTAACTGCAAGCATTACAAAGAAATCACTAGCCTGCTATTCAGTGGAGTGGCTTTGTGGTCCCAAGTCTGGGTTTATGGGTCTCTTTTCCAAGCTTATAATGTTAAACATTCAACATTGGCCATGCTGTCAATCCAGCATGATTTCTGTCATGCTCATAACAACTGTTTACTCGAAACTGGGAAATCTTACTTAGTTTAAGACTGTGAACTTGGGAAAAAACAAGCTTCCCACTTGGAATTGTAAGTTGGGAACTCTGGCTTCTTTCCAGAGCTACGACCTGAAGATCCCTGACGTTATCATGATTCAACCTTGTTTTTTTCAGAGTTCTCAGTTGTCTTGAAAGCACCATAAATCCAGAGAATGTCAGACTTTGATGACAAAGTTTGATGACAAAATTTTCCCACGAAGGACCGCCGCGCCACCTTCCTGTTCAAGTGAGCGCAGCACAACAAGGTGAGTCCAAAAATGTATTGTATGCTGCTGCATAAATTATGTAATATGCCATGGAGATATGTATACTGCAGCTTAGAAAGTAATACTAAGTGTATGTTATGTAGTAAGCTGTTAGTAGCCCATGTGCCTCACCCTAATAATTTGGTCTATTTTCTCCTCTTAATTTCACCTGCTGTTCTGACTTGGTGGTGCACAAGTAGCCTATAACCTGTTTTAGAGATATTATAATCATTGAATATTATAAAAGCTTTCATTGTCTGCTTATATGCCCCCATTATTTATCCTACGGTTCTGACTTGGTGTACAGGGCGAACACTGTAAGAATGGCCCATGTTCTGAATTATGTCGCTGTACATTTCAAAAGTGCTGAACAAATAGTCATACTGACTACGTCCGTCCTAGCTCGCTCATTAATGTCTTAATCGAAATTATGGATTGCCTCTTATCTGCTTGTCGTCCCCTTATGCCATCGTTTGTACATCTCAATTGTCAGTTGAAACCACATTTGTTTAAGCAAGTCAGCCATATTAGCTATGTTTTTTTTAAAGGCAGTAAATGAGGCTGAATTAACTGTTTCGCTTACCTGGCATACATCACCCCAAAAAATGTGTTTGCCCCACCAAGATTTACCTGCTAAAATCGCCAATGCAACTGATTAACAAACAAAGCATACAGAAACAGATGCATGGATTAATTAAGGCTTTTTTCAATGCAGATAACTCCAATAAGGAAAGCATTGGCAAGAATGATGACAAAATATAATACAGTTACCACAGCAAAATAGAAATACTTCATTTGTCCGATATCACCGTATGCAGCAAGCCTAAAGACCTTAAAGTGAGTAGAGTTCTCCATGGTCCTGGGAGTTCGTAAAGATGTGCTGTCAATAGTTGAAGAAGAGTAGACAATCCTGTATAGTACTGTAGCTTAAATATAAGTTAAAACAATCAAATCACAAAGAACAGACAACCTAAATTGATAATTCCTTTACCTGTTCTTGTTACAGTGATAGATTTGCCCACATCTATACTCACCAATATAGATGGTTTTTCCTATTGTCCTGATAACATACTCATAGCCTAAATCAAACAATATTATACTTTGTATCCTGCACTCATATTATTTATTACATTCAAAGTATGCTAAATCCAAAATGTAGACAGACCATTTCTAATCCATGATGAACTGCCTAAACTAACCTCCTCACTTGATTCTTATACTTGTGAGATAAAAAAAGTGCTTGCCATGGTGTGGTATGCAAATGTTCACACAGATATCATGTTACATTGAACAGTGGGCCCTCAGAAAACATGACATGCATCCAGATTCTAGACAGATTGTGGGAGTTGTTTTGCTAGACTTCAGTGCGGCTTTTGACATTATCAATCATAGCATGGTGCTGGAAAAACTTTAACCCCTTGCTATATTGTGGATTGAGAGTTAACTGTCTAACAGAACACAGAGGGTGTTCTTTAATTTTAGCCTCTCCAACATAATCCAGGTACATTTTATACATTTTAGTCATTTTAGCAGACGCTCTTATCCAGAGCGACTTACAGTTAGTGAATACATTTTTTTTTTATTTTTATTTTTTTTTTTATACTGGCCCCCCGTGGGAATCAAACCCACAACCCTGGCGTTGCAAACGCCATGCTCTATCAACTGAGCTACATCCCTGCCGGCCATTCCCTCCCCTACCCTGGACGACGCTGGGCCAATTGTGCGCCGCCCATGAGTCTCCCGGTCGCGGCCGGCTGCGACAGAGCCTGGATTCGAACCAGGATCTCTAGTGGACAGTTAGCACTGCGATGCAGTGCCTTAGACCACTGCGCCACTCAGGAGACTAGTGGGGAAGCTGTGTCTGCCCCTTACTTTTTTCAAACTTTACTAATGACCTGCCACTGGCTCTGAGTAAAGCCTGTGCGTCTGTGTATGTGGATGACTCAACACTATACACGTCAGCTACTACAGCGAGTGAAGTCACTACAACACTTAACAAAGAGATGCAGTCAGTTTCAGAATGGGTGGCAGAAATATTAGTCCAAAATATTTCAAAAACTAAAAGAATTGTATTTGGGACAAATAATTGACTGAACCCTAAACCTCAACTAAATATTGTAATGAATAATGTGGACATTGAGCAAGTTGAGGAGACTAAACTGCTTGGAGTAACCCTGGATTGTAAACTGTTATGGTCAAAACATATTGATGCAACAGTAGCTAAGATCAGGAGAGGGTTGTCCATAATAAAGCACTGCTCTGCCTTCTTAACAACAATATCAACAAGGCAGGTCCTACAGGCCCTAGTTTTGTTGCTCCTGGACTACTGACCAGCCGTGTGGTCAGGTGCCACAAAGAGGGACTTGGGAAATGTACAACTGGCCCAGAACACGACAGCACGCCTGGCCCTTAAATGTACATGTAGAGCTAACATTAATAATTTGCATGTCAATCTCTCGTGGCTCAAAGTAGAGGAGAGATTAACTTCACTACTTGCTTTTGTAAGAAGCATTGACATGTTGAATGAACCGAGCTGTCTGTTTAAACTACTAGCACTGAGCTCAGAAACCCATGCATACCCCACAAGACATGCCACCAGAGGGCTCTTCACAGTCCCCAAGTCCAGAACAGACAATGGGAGGCGCACAGTACTACATAAAGTGGCTTGCGAAAGTATTCACCCCCCTTGGCATTTTTCCTATTATGTTGCCTTATTTTATGAGTTTCTGGTATTGAGAAGTTCAGGATGCAAGAGAGTATGTCACACAGATGGAGATTGGATTCAGTCATTATTTAATGGTTACAATGTTTGTTTCAATGACAGGCTTTGCCTCTTGCCATCTGAATGACTTCCATAGATAATCTCTCAGTTTATATACTGCTCTTCCAACCTACTTTTATCTTATCCAGTTGCTAACCATTATTAATTGTCACTTATCCACCACCATATCATCTACCTCCTTGGTGTAGTGTGGCACCCAGGCCATTCCATCACGCACCCATCCTAAGATTAGCACCAGTGGCCCCCAATCTATCTTGGCACACTGACCTTCAATTACTCACTCGTGACACCACTAACACATGGTGTGTCCCTGTCCTGTGTCCACATACAGCTTATGAGTTGCACATACGTTCATGAATCTTGTATCACAAATCATCATAACACCTTAAAACCTTTTTGGGGGTTTGTATCATTTGATTTACACAACATGCCTACCACTTTGAAGATGCAATATATGTTTTATTGCGAAACAAACAAGAAATAAGACAAAAAAACAGATATCTTGAGCCTGCATAACTATTAAACCCTCCAAAGGCAATACTTTGTAGAGCCACCTTTTGCAGCAATTACAGCTGCAAGTCTCTTGGGGTATGTCTCTATAAGCTTGGCACATCTAGCCACTGGGATTTTTGCCCATTCTTCAAGGCAAAACTGCTCTAGCTCCTTCAAGTTGGATGGGTTCCGTTGGTGTACAGCAATCTTTAAGTCATACCACAGATTCTCAATTGGATTGACGTCTGGGCTTTGACTAGGCCATTCCAAGACATTTAAATGTTTCCCCTTAAACCACTCGAGTGTTGCTTTAGCAGTATGCTTAGGGTCATTGTCCTGCTGGAAGGTGAATCTCCGTCCCAGTCTCAAATCTCTGGAAGACTGAAACAGGTTTCCCTCAAGAATTTCCCTGTATTTAGCGCCATCCATCATTCCTTCAATTCTGACCAGTTTCCCAGTCCCTGCCGATGAAAAACATCCTCACAGCATGATGCTGCCACCACCATGCTTCACTGTGGGGATGGTGTTCTCGGGGTGATGAGAGGTGTTGGGTTTGCGCCAGACATAGCGTTTTCCGTGATGGCCAAAAAGCTCAATTTTAGTCTCATCTGACCAGAGTACCTTCTTCCAGATGTATGGGGAGTCTCCCACATGGCTTTTGGCGAACACCAAACGTGTTTGCTTATTTTTTTCTTTAAGCAATGGCTTTTTTCTGGCCACTATTCCGTAAAGCCCAGCTCTGTGGAGTGTACGCTTTAAAGTGGTCCTATGGACAGATACTCCAATCTCCGCTGTGGAGCTTTGCAGCTCCTTCAGGGTTATCTTTGGTCTCTTGTTGCCTCTCTGATTAATGCCCTCCTTGCCTGGTCCGTGAGTTTTGGTGGGCGGCCCTCTCTTGGCAGGTTGGTTGTGGTGCCATATTCTTTCCATTTTTGAATAATGGATTTAATGGTGCTCCTTGGGATGTTCAAAGTTTCTGATAATTTTTTATAACCCAAGCCTGATCTGTACTTCTCCACAACTTTGTCCCTGACCTGTTTGGAGAGCTCCTTGGTCTTCATGGTGCCGCTTGCTTGGTGGTGCCCCTTGCTTAGTGGTGTTGCAGACTCTGGGGCCTTTCAGAACAGGTGTATATATACTGAGATCATGTGACAGATTATGTGACACTTAGATTGCACACAGGTGGACTTTATTTAACTTATTATGTGACTTCTGAAGGTAATTGGTTGCACCATATCTTATTTAGGGGCTTCATAGCAAAGGGGGTGAATACATATGCACGCACCACTTTTCCATTATTTATTTTTAGGAATTATTTTAACAAGTTATTTTTTTTATTTCAATTCACCAATTTGGACTATTTTGTGTATGTCCATAACATGAAATCCAAATAAAAATCAATTTAAATTGCAGGTTGTAATGTAACAAAATTGGAAAAATGCCAAGGGGGATGAATACTTTTGCAAGGCACTGTACCTATTCATACTTTTGCAAGGCACTGTTGAGCCATGGCTACATGGAACTCTATTCCACATCAAGTAACTCACGCAAGCAGTAAAATCTGATTTTAAAAAACACCTTATGGAACAGCGAGGACTGTGAAGAGTCATACACACAGGTACAAACACACACACACACACACACACATAACATACACTATACACACACATACACCTGGATTGTGTGTTGTAGTACAGTAGTGGCTGGAGGGCACACACTTAATGTATTGTGAAATCTGTTGTAAAATCTATTTTAACGTTTAAAAATTGTATTATAATGAATATTACTGCCTTAATTTTTGCTGGATCCCAGGAAGAGTAGCTGCTGTCTTGGGAGCAGCTAATGGGGATCCATAATAAATACAAATACAATATTGTAGTGTCCATAGATGTTATTAACTGTCATGTCGGAAGTTGATCAGGCAAGTTTCACTACCAGGTAGTTGTCACAATACACTTTGTCTATTACTTTTCCACACAAATGCAAACGAATAGTTAAAGACAGTGTTATGAGGAATTTTGCAAAAGAGTACAACGATATTACACAAATTAAAATACACACCCTGTTGGGTGTCATGATGACGTTATACTGTAGTGGATAACGTAAAGCAATGTACCTGTTGTAGGACATGGCTGCTAAATTGCTGAATTCAAGAGATCCATATGTGTATATGGAAAAGATCTGTAGGTAGCAGTACACAGTGGAAACTGCATAGACATCTGAAACCAAATGAGTCATGAGAGCAGGAAACAAACCAGTGCTACCTTACGACTCATTCACAAACAAACTGCACATAAACAGATACACTACATGGGAAAAAGAATGTGGACATCTGCTCGTCGAACATCTCATTTCAAAATCATGGGCATTAATATGGATTTGGTCCCCCCTTTGCTGTTATAACAGCCTCCACTTTTCTGGGAAGGCTTTCCACTAGATGTTGGAACATTGCTTCGGGGACGTGTTTCCATTCAGCCACAGTAGCATTTATGAGGTCGGGCACTGATGTTGGGCGATTAGGCCTGGCTCGCAGTCGGCGCTCCAATTCATCCCAAAGGTTTTCGATGGGGTTGAGGTCAGGGCTCTGTGCAGGCCAATCAAGTTCTTCCATACCGATCTCAACAAACCATTTCTGTATGGATTTCGCTTTGGGAAAGGGGGATACCTAGTCAGTTGTACAACTGAATGCATTCAACTGAAATGTGTCTGCTGCATTTAACCCAACTCCTCTGAACTTTGTGCACGGGGTCATTGTCATGCTAAAACAGGAAAGGGCCTCCCCAAACTGTTGCCACAAAGTTGGAAGCACAGAATCGTCTAGAATATAATTGTATGCTGTACCGTTAAGATTTCCCTTCACTAGAACTGAGGGGCCTAGCCCGAACCATGAACAACAGCCCCAGACCATTATTACTCCTCCACCAAACTTTACAGTTGGCACTATGCATTCAGGAAGGTAGCGTTCTCCTGGCATCCGTCAAACCTAGATTCATGCCTCGGACTGCCAGATGGTGAAGCGTGATTATTAACAATTTAATCAATTTTAGAATAAGGCTGTAATGTAACAACATTTGGAAAAGGTCAAGGGGTCTGAATACTTTCCGAATGCACTGTATAGTCTATCATTCACAATTGATAGGATAATTGTCACCCATCAAACTTCTTAATTTAATCTTGTCTTTACATATACTGATAATATATGTGTGAAATTAGATTTGATGTAGAACAAACCATTTTCATGCACCTGTCTCAGAACAGGGGCAGGGGGGGGAAATAAATGTAATCTATGCACTTAAATAGCGAATGGAGGACTATTTTCCTGTGGTTCATTTTCATGCCAGCCAGGTAGGCTATACTCCTGTTGTAAAACGAAGCAAAGTCTTTAATATTAGGAAAGTTGAGAAATAAATATAGTAGACCTAGCCTATAGAAAGCTGATGGGATCCTCCTCTTTTTAATACAGGCCATCAAAACTCTGTTTTTTTCAAGCAATTGCATAGCCTACAAAAATGTTACTCAACATGAGCTCATGGGCTCACATGAAGTGTTTGATTTGATTTTCGATTACATTTGCGAAGGAAAACCGGAAGCTTCTCCCGGGCCAACGTCCGACTCTCCGACGATCAAACCACGTCTCAGTCGACGCAACGAGGGAGCACCAGAGATCCCTACCAACCTACGTCCGAAACCCCGACCATCGAACGGACCTAACAACCGATGGAGCGAAGGACAATAGGAAGTTCCTCCCGTCCAACGTCCGACTCTCCAACCATCGAACGAACGTCCCAGTCGACGCAACAAGGGAGTACTGGAGACCCCTCCCGACCAATGTAAGGCTCTCCGACCATTGAGTGGACCTTCCAGCCGATCACAACGGCCAGCACAGCCACCACCCGGGCCTGACACCCAAGGGGAGCTAACAGTACCACTCATCATCACCTACAACCGACTCAGCCTCAAGGTCGCGACACAAATCAAAGAGAACCTCCTGCAGTCAGGTCTTCTACCTCTTCGCACACCCATCCTGGCCTACCGCAGTAACCCCAACCTCCGTGACCGACTGGTACATAGCAGACTATAACCCCTCAACCCACAGCGAGTATCCACAGAACCCCACTTCGACCAACTCAACAGCATCCGCGGCTCGACACACAGCAGCGACATAAGGATACGTAGCCCCTACGGAACCCACACTACACACAACCAACTGTGTCTACGCCTTCATCTGCAAAACCTGCAACGCCACCTACATCAGCGAAACCGGTGGGTCCCTACACACCCGCCTCACCCAACATTTTTACAACCTCTCTCCCTTTCGCCGCACCAACACACCACAGTTAACTCTAATTAACTTAACCTCTGCAGCAGAAGTAAATCATTGGTATTCGTTTCCTGTGGCAGTCCTCATGAGAGCCAGTTTCATCCTAGCGCTTTATGTTTTTTTGCGACTGCACTTGAAGAAAATGTAACCTCTACGGGATCGGTGTCCCGTATAAGGGACGGTTGAGCTAACGTGCGCTAATGTGATTAGCATGACTGTTGTCAGTAACAGCAAACCTTCCAGGACATAGACATGTTTTAAATGGACAGAAAGCTTAAATTATTGTTAATCTAACTGCACTGTCTAATTTACAGTAGCTATTACAGTGGGGGCAGCAGGTAGCTTAGTGGTTAAGAGGGTTGTGCCAGTAACCGAAAGGTCGCTGGTTCTAATCCCCGAGCCAACTAGGTGAAAAATCTGTCGTTGTGCCCTTGAGCAAGGCACTTAACCCTAATTGCTCCTGTAAGTCGCTCTGGATAAGAGCGTCTGCTAAATGACTAAAATGTAAATGTAAATGTAAATGAAAAAGACCATGCTATTGTTTGAGGAGAGTGCATAACAGCAAAAAAATTCTCACGGCAACTGGTTTGATACATTCACCTCTGAAGGTAAATAATGTACTTACATTCATCTTGGACCAATAAAGCTAGCTAGCTAGCGGGTAGCTACTGGTTACTATTAGCAACTGTGGATAGTTGTTTCCAATGTTATTTCACGCTTAAGAGTACCTGTAATTATGCCAGCTAGCTACCTACCATTCAGCTGTTTTTCTAACCTCATTATCTGAAGCGTTAACGTTAGGTAGTTAGTAGCTACTGTACTCGAAATGTAGCTAGCTTGTTGCTACCTGGATAGCTAACTAAACAATAGCTGGAACAACCTAGCTGTATATTTAGAGACGCTTTCTCTCCGTTGGGACAGACGCGAACTTGCTGAATCGATTCAGTGGCTAGCTTTGCACTTAACTGGCTAACAGTAGCTACTAAGGGTAAGTTATAACCTACATTTATTTTTGTTTTGTTTTTACATACTGGTAACGAGTCGTTCAAGGGAATTCGGGACATGGGTGACTAGTTAACGTTAGCTTGGCTCTCTCTCTGTGTTTCGTGCCGTCGGAGGAGGGGTGGTTCGTTGGCAGAGAGCAATGGATAGCTAGTATGCTAACTATTCTAGCTAACTAACTGGCTGAATAAGTTGACGATGTACTCACTCAAACTGTCAAAACTAACCCAAAACGTTACACAACGTTAGACACGGACATGAATGATCTGTTTGGAGTGTTAACACAGTGGTTTGTTGTAACCGAGAATTGATGCTAAACCGTGTTATTGGAGGCTAGCATGCTAGTTGGCTATGGCGTCATAGGATTCGGTGCCCTGGACGGTTTTCACAGAAGAATACTGTACCAAGTTAGCTTGCTGAATAAACTAAGTTAGAGTCTATTCCTAGAAAACATTGAACCGCTGTAGTTTACAACAATTATAATTTCTAAAGTGGAAGTTGGGAGAGTTATAGTTGAGTGTTTCAGTGAAAGGTAAGTGAAGAAAGCCCACTCTCTTGCGTTCCCAGATGTTTAGTTCATTTCATTCCGATCTCCCTGCACGCACGACCCACGTGGAGTTCCAGGTCTCCGGCAGCCTCTGGAAATGCCGTTCTGCAGCCAACAAGGCAGAGTTCATACTCCTACTGCTCTTTCCTCGTCTGACCATGTGTTCTCGCATACCCGAGAGCATCTGGTCAGCGTGGCGGTGGCACAGGAATCCTCATCTCTCCCAAGTGGACATTCTCTCTTTTTCCCCTGACCCATCTGTCTATCTCCTCATTTGAATTCCATGCTATCATAGTCACTAGCCCATTCAAGCTTAACATCCTTGTCATTTATCACCCTCCAGGTTCCCTTGGAGAGTTCATCAATGAGCTTGACACCTTGATAAGTTCCTTTCCTGAGGATGGCTCATCCCTCACAGTTCTGGGTGACTTTAACCTCCCTACGTCTGCCTTTGACTCATTTCTCTCTGCCTCCTTCTTTCCACTCCTTTCCTCTTTTGACCTCACCCTCTCACCGTCCCCCCCTACTCACAAGGCAGGCAATACGCTTGACCTCATCTTTACTAGATGCTGTTCTTCTACTAATCTCACTGCAACTCCCCTCCAAGTCTCCGACTACTACTTTGTATCCTTTTCTCTCTCGCTCTCCTCCAACACTACTCACTCTGCCCCTACTCCGACGGTAATGTGCTGTCGTGACCTTCGCTCTCTCTCTCCCGCTACTCTCTCCTCTTCCATCCTATCATCTCTTCCCTCTGCTAAATCCTTCTCCCTCCGATCTCCTGATTCTGCCTCCTCAACCCTCCTCTCCTCCCTTTCTGCATCTTTTGACTCTCCATGTCCCCTATCCTGCCGGCCGGCTCGGTCCTCCCCTCCTGCTCCGTGGCTTGACGACTCATTGCGAGCTCACAGAAGAGGGCTCTGGGCAGCCGAGCGGAATTGGAGGAAAACTAGACTCCCTGCGGACATGTCATCTTTTCACTCCCTCCTCTCTACATTCTCTTTCTCTGTTTCCGCTGCTAAAGCCACTTTCTACCACTCTAAATGTCAAGCCTCTGCCTCTAACCCTAGGAAGCCCTTTACCACCTTCTCCTCCCCGCTGAATCCCCCTCCTCCTCCCCCTCCTTCATCCCTCTCTGTGGATGACTTCGTCAACCATTTTGAAAAGAAGGTTGACGACATCCGATCCTCATTTATTAATTCAAATGACACCGCTGGTCCTGCTCACACTGCCCTACCCTATGCTTTGACTTCTTTCTCCCCTCTTCTCCAGATGAAATCTTGCGACGTGACGGCCGGCCGCCTAACAACCTGCCCGCTTGACTCTATCCCCTCCTCTCTTCTCCAGAC